ACCCAACCACCCAATAAACAGTTCCATCTCCACAATCTTTTCGACCATATTGTGTGTGCGATTGCAAGATCTGCTTTGTGTGTGTATGTGTTTCTGCTTCATCCATGAGTTCGTCCGTGAGTTTTTTCCTTACTTAACAAGTTTTTTTATAGGATGAATGATGAAAAATGAAAGGACATGCAAGCCATATAATCGGGATAAAAAACAGTTTTCAAACCATATGGACGGAAATCGTTGTAAACACCAAACCACATGAACGAAAATGACAATTTACTCAATATATAAAGACTACCACCGACAACAATTTTACYCAATTAGATTGGGGATGGGACAAACGAGATATTAAAAAAATGAAAATTAAATAACGAATTTYAGCAGATTTATCTACCAGGCGATCCAAGATTACAACTTTTTTAAAATGGAATCGACGCATGTCATAAGTTTGTTGGATTTATTTTCTTAGAATAGAACTTATTGATTAAAAAAATGACTTTAATAAAAAAAAATTAAAAATTATACCAAAATATTTATATTTTTTAATTTTGTATAAATAGAGACCAATATTGACATATTTTCATCACACTAATTTTTCTATTTATTACAATAMTCTTGTTTTGGAATGGTCAATTATGATAAACAAATTTCATTTGTCTGTGTTGGTTTGTATATGGAATGTAATTGAATTCCATGTATTTCATAGTCTACGGATTTTATCATTTCATTGCATATGTCATATAATTCAATTAATTTCTACCATTTTTTCGAAAACACAAAACTATTCTCCAAAAAAATAAAACTAGCCTACTATGCACATGACTAACACCGACATCGTCCCTGCCACCATTGTTGTCGTCGTCGACGCCACTTACACCACCATCCCCCCTCCCTTGGCCGCCAATTAATGTTATCATTAATTTTATCATAGTACATACGAGGCGAAAGAACGTATGAAAATGGAAGTTACAGTAAGAAACATAAGAAGAGATGTGAATCCCTGATCACTTTTAATCTCATGCTCACTCATGAATTGCACATTAGAAGAGAATTGATTCGGTACATCTGTATGTACCTCTTTGGTGTTCACATTCATCTACGTATTGATTCATGAATAAAGATCTCTTCTTATAATTTTCACCATAACTTTCATTTTCATTGAAACCCAATCCTATACATTATCTTCAATTTAATCAAGAAAGTATGCAAATGACATAAAAGGATGTTTTGTTCATTTATTTTTTATTACATACCAATTCCAAAACCAATTTGCAACGGAACCCCTCAAACTCCCATATAATTACCAAATTTGGATATGAATGTGTTACATGTTTACTGAACAACCGATTACATTTTTCATAGTCAATTTTAACCATGAATCATAGCGATTCAATGGTGGGATCTGGTGATTTTGGAGGGGAAAACAAGAAAGGTTTAGGAGGAATCTGTATGGACTCTAAATCTCCTTCTAACATATCCAACACCTTACTCATTGATGGTCTACTTGAAGGATCAGCTTGTATGCACCATAAGCCTACAAAAACCATCTTCGTCACTCGTTCTTTATCCTCCTCRTTCAAAATCCCGCTCAATCCAAGATTTTTGTTCGACACAAGTTGTTTATATACCCAATGGGAGAAGAACATGTTGCTAGTGTCATTAACTTCAACCACAACATCCCTTCGCCCTCCMACCATTTCTAATACCATCATCCCGTAACTGTACACATCCGACTTGTGAGAAACCCCTCCAAAGTTTCTAGAAAATACTTCSGGTGCAATATACCCCGGAGTCCCTCTCATACCCGACATAGAAATGACACTTCTTTTTTCAGGACATAGCTTAGCGAGCCCAAAATCAGATATCTTAGGACATAAATCTTTATCTAAGAGAATATTATGGGGTTTTATGTCAAAATGTAGAATTTGTGTGTTACAACCGCGATGCAAGTACTCTAAGCCTCGACCAATGCCAACTACAATTTCGTATAGTTTCTCCCATTCTAGTTGGCTACCTATTGCTGAACCTCGATTACAAACGAATTTCTCTAGGGATCCGTTAGGCATGTACTCATAGATCAAAGCTCGGTGACGGCCCTCAAAACAGAATCCCAAAAGACTT